AATAACAAAGGGTATTACCCCTTACAGTTGTCATGAAGGGTAATATTAGCTATATGAACCAAAATCGTTCTTTGTACCAGGCAGTAAACACCTTTTTTTCTGCTGAAAGTTGGCCATTTTAACAGTGGGCTCAATAGAAATCTGCTCTATTATTGATCCAGGACTAATAGAATTTTGATGAATTGCAGTTTTAGTTACTTCCCTATTTGTTTTTACGAGGGAGAGCAGGAGGTTGCAGCTTGGGCAAATCGCAAAATCTTTTGTCACAGACTTTATTTTCCTGCCTACATCCTTCACTATTATTGCTGTTGAGTGTTGAACAGATAGTGGGACACCCGCCAGTCCTGTAATTCCGAGAGGTTTCTGGATGCAGACCTGGTGCAGTGCAATCCGAGGTGCATCCAATGCTTTTTATTGAGCTCACCTAACCCTCTCCATCACAGTGACGTCACTCACTCCATTGAGTGCATTGTGTCTGACATTGCATCGCTGAGTTATGCAATCTCAGCTTGCATCATAAAGGCTGCATCCAGATACTATTGGGTATTTCCTTCTTCATGATATACTGTTAAAAAAATACAGAAGAGAACGAACTTACAAAGGAAGGATAACTCGGTATTGAAATGAAATTAAAAGTAACTGCAATGAAATTACAAATGATATAACAAATGTGTATATTGTCATAAGGAACAGTTGCAACAGCCAGTTATTATTAAACTATCTAATCTCACTGAATACAATAGATTTACCTCTTTATCATAGCTCAACCTATTAGAAGCTATTGAAACTGATTTATATTATATGAATTAAATAACGTTTCAATAAAAAAAAACGTTTAAACGGTATGCGAAATATTCTGAACATTAAAAAAATCAGTTTTAACTGTTTTCTTTCAGAGCAGGGGAGGTTTGACCACCAGAGGGCAGCAGAGTCCACTTTACGATTAAACTAAACCTCAAATGTCTGTTACCTTCATGATTAAAGTTGTTTATTTTTTAAAAGATTATCTTTTAAAGAAAGTGACAACTAACAAATGGGATTTATTGTAAATATATATGAGATTTTTTTCAATAATTTTTATGTAGATACAATCCATTTTGACCACTGAAGCATGAAAAGGAAATGTCACACTTAAACTGGTGTAAATGACTTCTGTCTGAAATTGTCCTCTAAAATTTGCATTTTTCTCAGCCTCCTATGTTTATGTTCAGTTATTTCACTTTAAGAGCCATGAAAACTATTCTTTGCACTAAGTGTAAAATACTAAATCTACACAGAGAAGCCTGAGAAAATGCTCATTTTAGATCAAAACAAATTCAGACGGCACTTAGAGGTTTTTGCATCTACACTCTTCAAATGCTTAATGCTTTGGACTACACGGAGAAGTCCCTTTTTTAAAGAAAATTGTTTAGAAGATCATTGCTTTAAGTTACTGCTATAAAAAATTAGCAAAATATATGCTACTATTTTAAAATGTTTTTTTTTTTTTTTGCGTGAAGTACTTCAAATATTTCTGCTAGGTGAAACAATGTTTTTCCCAGTGATTTTTTTTTTCATTGTCATGTTTATTGGTTTGATTGTTTGTTTCACATGGCAAGTACAGTTTTAGTTTTTAACATGATAATACGCCAGCATAAAAAAGTGAAAGAAAATAACTGGTGCGTATGTGTGTGTGTGCGCACTGTAAACCCCACTATTGTCATTCATTCATTCATTCATTAATTTTCTTGTCGGCTTAGTCCCTTTACTAATCCGGGGTCACCACAGGGGAATGAACCACCAACTTATCCAGCAAGTTTTTACGCAGCGGATGCCCTTCCAGCCACAACCCATCACTGGGAAACACCCATAAACACTCATTCACACACACACTTATTTACACTACGGTCAATTTTACCATATCAAATTCACCTGTACCACGGCAAGAACCTGTACCTTGGGAGAACATGCACTTCACACAGAAATGCCAACTGGCCCAGCCGAGGCTCGAACCAGTGACCTTGCTGTGAGGCAAAGTGATAGCCACTGTGCCACTGCGTTGCTGTTCTCTGAACTTAACATTTTAATTTCTTTAAACAATTCACCATGCCTCTGTTTAAAATGATTGGTTCCGCTTGAAATTCTGCCTTGACTACCGCACTGATTGGTTAAGATATGTTATATGACACAAGGTAGTCATTTTGCTTGTGATGCAGAATTTTGCTGAAGTGCAGCAGTACAGAGGCACTACCTGAACCTGACGAAAAGAGAATAGTTAAACAGTTACTAAGTAGATATTTAAATGCTTATTTACATTTTTCTTAATTGATACACACAGGGGTGACTTGGTGATGCAGTAGGTAGCACTATCGCATCACAGCAAGAGGGTTGCTAGTTCGAGCCCTGACTAGGTCAGTTGGCATTTCTGTGTGGAGTTTGCATGTTCTCCCCGTGTTAGCGTGGGTTCCCTCCGGGTGCTCCGGTTTCCCCTACAGTCCAAAGACATGCGGTATAGCTGAATTGGGTAAGCTAAATTTTCCGTGGTTTATGTGTGAATGTCCTAGTCCACCAGGTTAGGGGTTGAGCATCGGGCTAACAGACCACCTCGTAATAATTTGATGTTATGAAACAGCAAATATCCGTTTCGAAATAAACGGCCCTGGGAGTACGTAAAAATATATAAAAGCTGAAAATTTTGAAGTTTAGTCTATTAGCCATTTTAAGTTATCTGTAATTATGCATTTAAGTTATCTGTACTTAAACATTTAAGTTATCTGTAATTAAACATTTAAGTTATCTGTAACTAAACATTTAAGTTATCTGTAATTAAGCATTTAAGGTAATTCAATGAAGAGACCACATTTGGTCAACTCAACTAATTAAGTTGTCGATTTCCCATTACTTAAACGAACTGAGGGAATCACTTTCCTTTCAAATCATTTGAGTAGTCTCAACTTATTAAGGTTACAAAGAGAGAGAGAGATTGTTTGTGTGTGTGTGTGTGTGTGTGTGTGTGTGTGTGTGTGTGTGTGTGTGTGTGTGTGTGTGTGTGTGTGTGTGTGTGTGTGAGAGAGAGATTGATTTGGAAGTTCTATATATTGATTTGTATGAATAATATATGTTGAATATTAATATTATATATTGAATATTAATGTGATATATTGAATAATATCATGTATTGTTGATATTATATATATATATATATATATATATATATATAATCCTTTTTTATACAGCTACTATTTACTGTGTGTACTGTTTTTATTAATTTTTATGTATGTTACTTTTTATGTAAACTTTATAACTGCTTTGGCAATACATTTGTGACAATTGTCATGCCAATAAAGCAATTATTGAATAAATTTAACTGAATAGAGAGAGAGAGAGAGAGAGAGAGAGAGAGAGAGAGAGAGAGAGAGAGAGAGAGAGAGAGAGAGAGAGAGAGAGAGACAGAGAGAGAGGGAGAGAATTGAAATAGATCCTAATATTTTGATTAACACACACACTACACATTAACACACACACTACACATAGTCATAATTATTTTTAAAACTGACGACTTATAACAAGACACATTGAAAATAAAGCTTCACTATCGCTGAATAACTTGTATTAGTTTAAAAGAGTGAAAATATGTCAGAAAACTTCCAAGCCTGTCGGGGGCGCTGCCGAAATGACAACAACCCCTTTTACCCCAGTAAAAAAGTATCTTAAAGGTCTTTTTCTCAACTAACTTGTTAACAAACATCTATATTGCGTTTGCAGAAAGTTACCTCAGATGTAAAGGAAGTGTGCGTCGGTCGGCAGAGGGAGGAGAGGTGTGTTCGCGCTGCATGTAAAGGTTATGTCGTAAAGCAGAATGTCGTAAACCAGGTGCAGAGTGGGGCCTGGATTGGGGAGGGGGCACAGAGGGGGCTCAATCCGCGAGGAAGCGTTTAGACACAGTGCAAAAAATCATGGCGGATGGCCCCAGGTGCCAGCGCAGAAAACAGAGACAGCCACGACGCAACAATGGTGAGTCCCACATGCAGAAAACAGCAGCAAAGAGTTTTTAGTTTCGCTCCGGATGGTTTTTCCTCCTTTGGACTACTTTAATGTGGACTTGTGGAGGAAGGGTGCGGGCTGGGCTGTCCCAGTGTAACTGCACCGTTATACCTGAGTCTGCCCGGACCGTTATACGGAAGGACGCACGTCTCGGGTGCTTTAAACCGCTTCAAGAAGACTTTCTTCAGTGGCGTTTGAGTTTATTAGAAACTTGTGCAGTTTGCGGAATCAAACAGGGCTGCACTATTGCAGATCTGGAGTTTATATGCTGCTTTTAAAGATGACACTTTTATTGCACTAATGACTCCAGAGGGCTTCTTGACAGTTGTTGTCGCCATCATATAGTTCTTAAAGGGACAGTTCACCCCAAAATTCAGTTTTCATGCGTTAAACCTTTGCTTTGTTCAACAAAATAAAAGCCTTAGTAAAGATTTTATTTAAAAAAAGTTTATTTTCACTTTCTATGTTAAAATTTGTGAATACAAGTTTATATTTTGCAATTCCGACACTTTTAATTGTCATTACGGGTTTATTACAATATTGACTTTTATTCGGAGCATTGCTCACAACTCACAGATTAAAATAAAAAGGTCAAAGAAAAAAGAAATATAATTCTGAGAAAGACTTAACACTTATTAATGTTGTTATTTTTATGCAAGAACTAAAAAAAGAATATAGTTTGGTGAACTTTCCCTTTAAGGAAGTCCAGTGTTAAATATAAAAAATCATGGTGTGCTAGCAACTTTAGCCAAATGTTTCTTCTTTTTGTTTACCCTTTCTTAAAAAATACATGTTTTTTAAGTTCTAAATAATATTTTCTATATTATAAAAAAATCACTTTAATTACATGTGTTATTATTACTTTATTAAATATGATTCACAGATGCCTCTAATATCACAATAATGAACATTTACTTCAATCTCATTCATATCTTAGCATCCAAGGCTGCACTGAATGCATGCTGACTTCTGGTCGCTTTCTCTTTAAGCAATCTTTCCGGTAATCCGGTGATATAGTCAACCGTTCAGTTGAAAGCACCGTGCTACCTTTTCCTGTGCGTGCGTGTGACAACGAGCGCGGATCCGCTCGCGACGTAACACGCTCAGGAGCCGTCAACGTGTTTACCTGAACGGTGAGGAGACAACGGAGAGAGCCAATGTCCTCATTTACCGTTCATCGCACTCCTCGCGTGTCCAGAGCAGTGATTGCCCAGACGGTGGAAGCGAATCGGTGCGGGAAACGCGGTGTGCCCGAGCGAAGCGCGAGAGAGGCGGCCAGCACACGCCACGGCAAATGGCAACTTGTGCAGGTAGAGGGAAGATGGCTTTTGATTGCGGATGTTTAATGTCGAGTATACCGTTCACAGAGATGACCGACTACCTGTTTTATTGCGCTTTCATCCTCCGTTAAGTGACATTTAGCAGTGCGCTCGCTGCTAGAAGCGCGGATGGGTTTGTTTATGTTTCGATTTTCACACAGGAGTCCAGTTGGAGCGGCTGTAAAGTGGTTTGGAGAGAGAGATTGCAGTGCATAAGGTGGTTGTTAAAGGTGCTTTCCGTCTTCAGGAGTCAAACAGGTCGTTTTTTTCCGTAAGGTATTTGTGTAATGGCGGTGTGGACCGTTATTTGCTGCAGTGAGGGCGGGGCGGCTGCTCTCCTATGTCGGAGAAGAGCCAGGTAGGATAGGTGACGAAACACCTACATAGGTGCTTTCATTGATGTTTTTTTGTGATTTTGGTATTTAGGATTGTGTATTAACGTGATATAAGATGTTTTTTTGAGGTTAATAATCTAAATTACACATTTGTTTGAAACAAAGATAGTCTATTCTGGTCTAAAGAGGCGCTGATTCACTACATCTGTTTTCATTTCCGAGGTGAGTTCTGAGTTTTATTTCTCCGTTTAAACGTGATTGGTTTGGGTTGTTTTCTGCGATGTGAATGTTAAATGCTATAACAATACACCGCAAACAATGTTTTTTGGCGCGGAAGGATGTATTGTGTGATGAAGGCTGTGTGACGTCAGCGCCAGGAGGAGCGCAGTGGTGCTGCTGTGACTTTTATTTTCATTCTCCGGGCTGCTGGTTCTCGCGCTTGACATGTTCACCAGACCTTACTATTTTAGGGCGTTACTGCACGGAAATGAGGTCACACGGTGGTCCACTCGAAGCTCGTTTTCATTGGTTCCCAGTTACTCAGACTCATGTTTCAAGAGAAATGTCAGCGCGAGTACAGAAGCATCAGATATAATGCATGTCTCTCCCTGTGTGCGCGCGCCTGTTTGTTTTTGGATTATCAGTCCTGTAGAATGTGAGTGAAGGCTGATAAGAAGCTCATGACATTACAAGTGTCTACTGTGCATAGGTTTACATGCAAGAGATACAGAAAATGAAAGTTGTTGCTGAGATTTTTTTAGTAACTGGAAGTATGTATCAGATGAAAACATGACATTAAGACTGCTATGAAAAGGACACTGTTTTTTTTCCTTGCTCTTTTGTTCTGACCCCTTCAGTCAACCTTTGACCTATGAAGCCACACATGTTAGCAGTGCCGGCCTGTAGGGGAAGGGCTCTAGGCAAGATAAAAAAAAATTGAGCCCACTGGTGTAAAAATACTGAGAAGAAAGCACAAAAAAAAACTATTTTAATATTTAAGTGTATAAACTTTTATTAACAAACACATGCAACTTATAATAAAGATATTTATTCAAATGTAAACAAATAAGTTTGCAAGTATTGCAAAGCATTACAAATAAAAATGCAAGTGTGTTGTAAAAACAAATTGTACATGAAAGAAACTGATCTAAAATACTAGTAAAACACAGAATCTTGAATTATATTAACTATTTTGATGAAAGAAAACATGTTAATTGTGCTTCCATTCTGGCAAACAAACTTTTAACACATAATTAATTGATTATTTAATGAAACATGTTAAAAAGTAGGCCACATTCAGCAGAAGTATTTCTGTGATAGAGGGCATAGTTGCATTTATTAAAGCAAGTCCTAATACTACACTACTAAATAATGTATTATGCATAGCAGAACATACCTTTCCTCTGAGCATGCTTTTCTTCCTCTGCTTTTCTTTTCTTCCTTTTTCGGCTCCGAAAGATGCTGTTTTGATGCCATTTCATTTGAAATCAAGATTAATTTAGGATCGATTAACAATAGCAACGTCACTTGTGACATTATATTATTTAAGACTTTAAGACACTTTTCCGGGTTTATATTGAACGTGAGCTATTTGAAGAGGTGTGGAATCTGTGTAGGAATACATTACGTCATTAGTTCACTCAGTAGCCGATCACGGGCGGTGTTATGCAGAATAGAATGTGGTGCTGCTGGGTGTTACTAATAATTTCTGCTTTTATTCACACTGTTGTTGTGTATTTATTGTCGTTTTCAGCTGTTTGTCATATATGAATTATACAAAGCTATTCTTTTAATGAAATGGAGGTTATTTTTTCTCAATAATTGTGAATTGTAATGCGTTTAATAGAGTTTGTGCATTGCGCAATATTAATGAATTATAGGTAAGTGCCCATTCTCAGTATATCTATCTATCTATCTATCTATCTATCTATCTATCTATCTATCTATCTATCTATCTATCTATCTATCTATCTATCTATCTATCTATCTATCTATCTATCTATCTATCTATCTATCTATCTATCTATCTATCTATCTATCTATATCCATTCATCCATCTACAACAGGGCTCAACAATAAGGACTGCCCGATGGCCCGGGGCCAGCATGAGAGATGTTCGGAACAGTAGAGAGAATCGTTACTGGCCCGATCAGGCCAGTGCTGCCTTGTCATTAAATTTTAATTTGCCTGCTACTATGGCAATTGTGTGCAAATACAGTCTTAGAACCGAGAAACAATTTGTGCTTTTAAGTCTCAGAATGCTACGTTTTCTGTAAAGTCTTAAACCCCATATTGCTTTTTGGTTCCTTTTATCTGATTGGTTGTTGTGAGCACCTGGTAAAAACCAGAACAGTGAAGAGGCGACAACATCAAATTATGAGGCTAAAAGAAAACGTCTGTTTTCAACGTTGTGGAAGAAGATATTTACATGGGTACAACACAACGAAAAAAAATGAAGTGATGTTTTGCATAGTTTTCCATCACTTTTAAGTCAGCCACTTTTTGTTTAGCAATAAAATACCTGCACATTTTCCATACTGCTGTATTTTACTGCTAAATATTTTAACATTTTAAAAATATTTCAATTCTAGATTTAAAGACATTATTTTTGACACATTATTTAAAATATGTGGCTAAAAAAATAGCTATTTTTTATTTATTTATTTATTTATTTTGGTGGGGCCAGTGAAAATTTTGGCAGGGCCAGTAAAAATCTGAACTGCTGGTCCAGTCGGGCCAGTAGAAAACGTCCTTAGCGTTGAACCCTGTACCAAGATAATAATTTAAAATTTCTGTTTGGAATAGTGTTTTATTACATAATAATAATAATAATAATTAACTATAAATAATAAATCCCTCAGATAAGTAGTTCACACACACACACACACACAGATATATATGCATATAAATCATATATATATAAATAATTTGTTTGTATATTATAGTTTTATAATCATTTAATTGTATGTGTTAATATTTGGAATAATATTTCAGATATTTTATTATAAAAGTAATTGAGTCTTTGTGTTTCTGGTATATCACTATCTAATGCATCTAATTTTTGTCAGGTGAGGTTGATTCTGTTCAAAACAATACAGAAAAGCCTTTAAATGTCGATTTGCATTTATAACACTTAAGTACATTGTAATGCGTGTGTCAGTGTGCGTTGTAAAGGTAGGGTGTGAATCACATAAGCAAAGACAAAATGAAAACCTGCAGCACAGCAGTCTTTTCACACTTCCCTGTTGATGGAAAAGGGATATGAGGGCATTAAAGAGCTTTTCACATTTCTCTCTGCGTTTGTGGGGGGGCTTGTGACTGCTGGGCATCCCTTTTTGCATGCTAATCTCTCCCAGGGGTTTGCCGCCTCTTTGTGCGGAGGGGGGAAAGTTTCTCAGGGTTAAGAGGAGGGCTTTTTTTTTTGGTTTTTTTTTAGGGTGGGGGAGGGTTGGAAAAGACATGTGTTTTTTGTGATTGAACGAAGCAGAAATATGCCGGTGAATGAATTTACGTGGAAGAGAGAAAGAATGCACACCGGTAGATGGTGCAATGCATTTAATTAGTCTCCTGTGACTTGTGCTGTGTTTGTACTTGAGGGCTCTTATTAACCAAAAGAGCAGGGAGAAACAGACGTCTCAGGTGACCAATGCTCCCAAGTTATTCTAAATTGATTATGTCCCAACATACACACAGACAAACTACACTTGTAGCATTACAAGACATAGTGACTCTCTTAGGCTCTCTTTCTATATTTGTGTGTGTGCATATTTTATATGTAGCAGGTAAAATAAGTATTGAATGTATTGAATACCAGAATTTCAGGATAAATATAGCAGTTGACAAGAAATTGACCCAGATTTTGGTAAAAACCCGAAAGTTGGTATTTTAATAATATACAAGTAAAACAAAATAGAATAGTAGTTATGTGTAATAACAATGAAATGACACAAGGAGAAAGTACTAAACTTCTGAAATGTATTTAAATCTGATTTCACACCTAGACTTTTGTTTCGGAACCCGTCCCGTTTGCCCAGTTAGTGCAATTCGTTTGGCATATGTTAATCCAGCAATTGCGCTCAGATCTGCGCCAAAACAATGTTTTAGCTATTTTGGTCCGTTTAGAGCCGTGTAAAAAGCGAACCACAATAAGAACAAAGAGCAACATTGTAACTATTTTAATCACTGTTTTGATGAATGAATCGATTCACAGATGTGAAAGAGCCCTAACACTATGTGGTTTATTTTTTGTGACTGCTTCAAGATGCATGCATTGCTAAGGTGTGATCTTTTTTATTTTCCAGACTTCAGTAGAGTCTTCAAACCTTGATTGTTCTTTGGGTGTCTTCTGACCTTTAGTTTTTTTCCTATTGGATTCAGGTCAGGTGATTGGCTGGGCCATTCTAGCAGCTTTGTTTTTTTTTTTTTTTTTCTGAAACCAGTTGAGAGTTTTCTTGGCTGTGTTTGGGATCAGCGAGTACGTTTACATGGACACCAATAGTTTGATTAAGACAATACTCTGATGAAGAGTCAACCAAGTAAACAGCGATTTTTTTTATTAATTGAATCAGATTAAGGTCATAATCGAGCTAAACAGAAATGGAATTAAGGCATGTGGATTATGCCGATTTTAGTTACATTATTAGTCAAGTTTCCATC